CTCCACGATGAACTCCAAATCAAAACCATCCACGACACAGCCACTAATTTTTACAAAAGGTTTCATGGGAAACTCCATAGGAACCACAACCACCTCATTTCACAACTGGCCTCCAAAATGCTTCCTGACAACCCCACAAGACGTCTCAAACGAAACTGGTGCAGAGATCTTCTTAATCAATAAAACACATTTATACATTATTACATATAAAAATTAATTTCACTGTAAAAGGGTGACTCGACTGCGAGCCTTCCTACACGTCATTCAAAGCCATTGTTTTTGTTTTTAGCTATACTTATCATATTTACTTATTGTATCTAATGTACAGATTATAAATTTTCAATAAACGCCATTTAAAAAAAAAAAAAAAAAAAGTTGAAGCTTCAATTAATAATTCAAGTATACAAATAACCAATAGAGAAGCATGTTTTAAAAAATCGATCTCTGTATTATATTTTATTATTATTAATAGTTATATGGTATAAACTATAAATAGGAAATTGCTTAAAATTAATCTAAATATTTTTAAAATGTCATTGTGTATTGTGTATAGTAAAATATAGAATACGTAAATATTTTAAGTACCACAAATGTTTTTGAATTTCAACAAAATAACTAAAACTGTTATTCATTATTTATGTATCTATTTTTGTCAAAAGTTTCATTGAATTACATATATCTATGAAAAATAATGAGCCTTTATTTTTTCCAGTAGTTTTTGATTTCAGTCAAACTAGGTACTTTTGAAGAAACTTGTATTAAACTGTTAATTAAAGAATGTTTAATTTCAAAATATTAACTTTAAAATGTTCACAATTTTGACTAATTTCCTCATAATTCTAATTTCAATATAAAAAAAAAAAAATAAAAAAATATATGCAATAAATCTATTATAAAATTTCAATTTCAATATAAATATTCATAATATAGTTGTCATTATCCGGATAAGCAAAGGTAAAAGGTTTGTGTGAAAATAAAATATCTGATTATCTAATATAATTGTTATTGTATTATTATTAAAACAATTTTCATGTTTAAAACATTGTTGCCAATAACAGTAAACAAAATAAAACCGTATAAACTGAAATTTTTATAACGAGGGAATAAGGATACTAATAATTTATTACATAAAAATAATAAATTAAAATTAGGACTAGAGGATCGAACAATTATTTAACAACAAAATAAAATCTGTTTTGAAAATATTATCGGCGTAAAACTTAACTAAATAGCTGCAATGAAGAGTAAAGATGTTATCTGTTTTGTAAACAAAACATGATAAGAGGTACATTTTAAAAATTAGTCAACTATAGTAAAAATGTATGATTATTATTTTATTAATTACTGATATCAACTATCAAGGCAAAATATACATAAATATTTTTTTTTTTTATTAGATGAAAATAGGATTTTTACAATCTGTAATAATTACATACAAAACAATAAGTAAATTTGATATATAAGGTACAAAATATGAAATGGAGTGAGGAGTGAGGCCCACCAGTGTGAATAATACCCTCTGACTTGGGGTAGAGAGTTTTATTTTTTTTTAACTAGTGCAGGTCGGGATTCAGGAGATTTCGACACCAGTGTCTTTTTAATCGACGTGGTTTGTTATTTGGCATGAATTCACTGGCTAAGTTAGAAATCAATGGATTTGTGTGGTTAACTGTTTGTGTATGTACATTTTTATAGTAATTTTTAGCTGCTTTAGGGACTTTTTCAATTTTAAGATATTTATTTAGTGAGAGGTTTGAGACGTAACATGGCGCAGATGTTATTTTGCGAAGGAAAATAAACTGGAAGGCTTGTATAGTCCGTATTTTGGAAGGCTTTTCATATCCCCATATTTGGATGTTACAGGCCCAGATAGGTTTTAACATTGATTTGTATATTAATAATTTGTTGTCAATAGAGAGTTTGGACTTGAGGATAGGCCATAAAATATGAAGGTGTTAAGAGCTTTTCTTTCAATTTTGAGTTGTAGCAACTGGCTAGACGCTTGTCTAAAATAAGACCTGAGTAAATACTATTTTATTTGAGTTGTGGTTTGGTTTAGATTGTTTTGAAAAAAAGATTGGAGGTAGAACAGCTTTTCTTAAAGTAAAAGGAATGTAAAATTTTTTTTCTAGATTTGGTGGACCATTTTGAAATATTATCAAGATGTATTTGGAGGTTTTGGAATGCTGTTGTGGAATCGGAATGGGATGAGAAGATTGCCGTGTAGTCAGTGTAAGAAAAATATGTATAAAATAAATAATAATATATATAATTTAATATAACATTAATCAGTCGTAGTTCATAGAAAAAAAGTGAATAATCAGTTAGATAGTTTGATATAGAATAAATCATGAACAAACACAAAACGGTTAAAATTACAGCAGTAAGGACAGTATGTATAATTTATCACATACAATATAACTTAAAACAATAACATAAATTATGTATATTATCCAACTGTGGATGGGTTTAACCGTTCAACGGCATTAATACATTATAGGTACCTTTATGAAATCAAAAAACCTGGATAGTCAATAATTTAATTGCAATCAATTATATAATATATTTTATATGAAAATATACGATATAAGGTTATATACTTATACCTATATACTATATAAGTAAAATAATAAGTCAATAGAAACAGTGTCATAGTTATGATTTTGCTTTGTTGGAGAATTTTTTAAATACATGTCAGGTTGAATTAGGTTTTAAATTAGGTTCAATTAGTTTTTGACGAAAAAATTTTAAGACTGTAGGTACCTATACAATATAATAATATACTTCAAAAGTTTCAAGCACCCACGTAACACGAATATTATTTTTAACTTGCCACTAAATCATTAAAATTGTTATTCTTCGTTTAAAAACCTTATTTCATAAAAATTTAAACTTAAAATATCCATAAAAAAACCTGTTAAAGTATTTTTTAGATTTTTTGGTTACAGTATGAACTACTTATGAGATGCCTTATTCTAAACTTTCAATTCTAAGCTATATGTATATATTAAAAATTGTATACATTTTTAACCATTAAATAATTTAATAGAAATATGGAGAACAAGCTGGGTGTGTAATGGTGTAATAGCTCGAACCGGCGGAGTACGATTGCGCGCGTTTTACCTTTTTAGGTATTCGATTGCGCGCAGTGCCCGAATAACAAAAGACAACATTTTAATTACTCAAAGGCGTACGATTGCGCGTGAAATTGGGTGCGACGTTGCCAAATGTATTAGGTAAATAATAAAAATACAAAAAGTTAATAATATAAAAAAAATGTTATTTAAAAAAAAATTAAAAAATTAACGTAAATAATAAAAAATAAAATAATACAAAATAAAGAAATTTAATAATTGAAAAAATATAATACTCGTAAATCAATATTTATATTACATTTTAAACCCCCGATACCTATTTCCAACTATGGCCAAATACTTTAGTAAATTTTCTGGTGTTTTATTGTTTACATAATGTTTGTGTTCATTTTTCAAATTTTCAATTTTCCTTGATTCTTCATTCGATTTTGGTTTTATTATACCTTTGGAAATGGTTAATAATTTGGTAACTGTTTCTGCCTGAGGTTCCATAAGGGTAGCTATAACGACAAATATTGGTGGATGAGCACTATTAAACTGTGCATTATATGTACTATGGAAACTTTCAGCCCCGTTTGTAGTCCTAAAAATAAATAATATAATATTATAGTTGACACATTTTTTTTTAAAACTATTATTAGAACCGAACACAACTGATAGTTAATTGATATAGTCACATCATGCACGATTATAGTATAGGTATATTCGTACATGTATGGACATTTACGATAATATTTTTGATACATAATATAACCAATTCATTCTTAGTGATGGGATTTTGTCTGATATCGGCAAAAATAAGTAATAAATAATCTACTATAATCTACTATGGTATCCTACGGATTTACCATGGACCTATATATTTGGCAACGTTGCTTAAAAGTTAAAATAATATAGCGCGCGCAATCGTACGCTTAAAAAGGTACCGCGCGCAATCGTATCGCGCCCGCTCGAACAGTAGTGGTTGGGATCGCCTAGCAATTACTATCGGCTATGTAGTCCGTGTTGTATAATTATGTGTATTTGTGTATAAATATTTGTATGTGCGTGAGTGTGTATAAAAATAATAAAAAATGGTAACATGGTTTCTGGCAAATTACCAGTTTCTGTATAATACACTAATTTGAATAATAGCAGTACAAAATATATAATAAAAATCTCAACACAAAAGTAAAAGATATAATAATAATAATAAATCACAGCCCTTATGGCCAACTAGAATAAAATTTATAATTTAATTATAATATTGATTGGCCCTGCTGGTACAACCAAAACGATATAACAAGATGATATAAAAAGGGTATTTGAGCCGCTATAAAAACAATGTTATCCTTCTGGTAAAACAAATAATAATTAAAAAACTCACAGTTTGTGAAGCACAGGCTGGTAAGCTGGTCCTGTACTCCTCTGCTATACAATTATAATAAATGATGTAAAATAAATAAATAATAGTACATGCGACTCACACACTGACAAACTTTACACCCAAATTAAATAGATAATAATAATAATAATAATAATATAAGTATAAATTGCCCTTATGGCTTACAATAATAATAAATAAATAGATGCAAGGCTGTGCTAATACTGCAGCGTCCAATACGAGCCGTATACTCGGCGCTTAACGCACTCTCCAACAAAATAATTTACTACATTTCCACTATGGCTCATATGGCTCAGTACAGTTCTATCATCGATAATGAACGGACGTGCGTTACTGCCTCGCTCCGTTATCAGTGACCTTCTAAGTGTTTTCGCATGCGTTAGTCTTGTCTCTCGCATACTGCGTGGAGGAGTCGGAACATCGTTTTTTCCTAATATTCGCAGCCGTTCTCTTACTGCCACCTACTTTCCGCCAGTGTATCATTGGTTGCAATCTATTTTCTATTTACGTCCCTATTCATTATGCCGCAGAAAACAAACATCTCTCCTCTCTCCCTTACCGGTACTAGTAATAAACCGATCACCCGGAGTGCATTGTCGTCTTCTCAATCTGATGATATTCTCAAAGCCATTGCTAAATTGGAATCATCTCACCAACAACTTCTAAAATTAAACCAGCAAACCAGTGCTCAACAATCTGCTCAGTTCGAAGTACTCAAGTCAAACCTTGGTAACATTTCAAATCAAATATCCGATCTAAAAGCTGAAAACTCCAATCTTCGTGCTGAACTAACTGCTTTGAAAAGCAAAATACACCTACTTGAATCTACACCAAGTACTCCCATCAACCCCCTCTACTTGAACTCATCCAAGAACTCTCTGAACGTGATAAATGTAGTTCTAATGTAATTGCCTATGGTTTCACTGAATCCACTTCACGCATGCCTCAAGAAAGAATTGCTGATGACACGAAATCCGTCTCTGATGTATTCTCCAATCTGTCGTTCAAATTCCCTACTGAAGCTAAACTATTCAGGCTCGGAAAAAATGTCACCAACACCCCTCGTCCTCTAAAAATCATCCTTAAATCTAAGGCTGAAGCAGCATGCCTTCTGTCTTCGCTTAGTGAAGCTAGAAAGAGTCATATTAATCTTCCACCCGGCATCAAATTTGTTCGAGATAAGTCTAAACTCGAACGTAAGTTACTACGTCAACTTCACGAAGAGATGGATCATCGCAAACAAAACGGGGAACTTAACTTATCCATAAACTACATCAACGGAATTCCACAAATCATCTCTTCCATCTCAAAAAACCACACCAGAGGGCGTCTCTCTCCCACCAGTCAACTAGCCGCTTAAACACATCCTCTGTCAACGCCCTCACTGAATCTTTTGGTTTCTACCAGAATTGCAGAGGATTAAGAACTAAACTATACAATGTTATTTGTAATGTATCTAGCTTTAATTTTATATTTATTTCTTTAACCGAAACATGGTTAAATTGTAATATATCATCTAGTGAATTAGGATTAACTAACTATTTTGTATATAGATGTGATAGAAGTAACTTTACGAGTAACTTAAAAAGGGGCGGTGGGGTTCTCATTGCTATTCGGAAAGATATCATATCTCACCCAATAACTGTCTCTAATAATTCAGTAGAACACCTATTTATAGGGTTCCACTACAAGAACACTAATTATGTTGTGTATATAGTGTATATTCCTCCTTCTAGTCCCTCTCTCCTATATGAATCTCACATGGAAACGGTTGAATCCTTAATCAATACGAGCCCATATTTATTTATTCTGTGGCGACTATAATCTACCTGGATTAACTTGGTCAAACGACTCTGATGGACTAACTTTCTCTTCGACCTCTGGTTCTTCTGGCTCCTGTGTTCTCGAAACCTTCGGGTCCTTAAACTTTTTCCAGCATAACTCTGTCCTCAACTCATCTCAATCCACACTTGACCTAATATTTTCAAATATTGCAAATATCTCTGTTGAAAAGAGTCTCAACCATCTCGTTCCCTGTGATTCCTTTCACAGAGCTTTAGGGATTTCACTTTTGAACATCAATCATATACCCTTTTTAAATAACTCCAATACATTTTTTGACTTTCGCAAGTCTGACTATTAAAAAATAATTTCTTTCCTAAATTCTTTCAATTGGTCCTCAACCTTACTCAACCTTGATGCAAATTCAGCAGCTTATTGCCTGTATGATGCTTTACACTATTCTATACTCAACTTCGTTCCCGAAATTCGTTTTACTCCGTCAAAGTTTCCTCCCTGGTTCATAAAGGAATTAAAAACATTAGTGTTCATTAAAAACCGAGCACATGCCACTTTCAAAGCTTCACACAATCAGCAGGACTATTCTGCATTCTCTAAATTACGTGTACAGTTTAAATACTTGTCCAGAAAATGTCACAATAATTACCTAACTCATATTGAATCCCAAATTTATAGCAACCCAAAATCTTTCTGGAAATTAGTACGCAAGAGTCCTTCAAGCTCTGGGCTACCTAATGTCATGCATCTAGACGCTCAACAAAACTCAGGTAAGGAAAAAATAGCTAACATGTTCTCCACTTACTTCGCTTTCGTTTACAAACCATCTAGTAGCTCTGCCTTACCTAGTACCCCATTTCTTTTCCACCCATTGCCTAGTAACTGTCACTTTTCAGTTTCCGATATAGAAACTAAATTAAAAATCCTATCAAACACTACAAGTGCTGGTTCGGATGGAATTCCTGGTTCTTTCTTAGCTAATATCAAATCTGTAATTTCAGTCCCCCTATGGATAATATTTAGACGCTCACTTGATCACGGTATCTTCCCTGACATTTGGAAATTATATTCTGTTACTCCTATCCACAAAACCGGAGATCATGATGACATCCGTAATTACAGGCCTATATCTGTTCTAAGTCATCTTGCAAAGCTCTTTGAATACCTAGTTGTCCGTAGTATTCAATCTCCAGTTAACTCTATTCTTATTGATGAGCAATATGGCTTTCGGCCTAATAGATCCTCCACTCTCAATAGTATCGTATTTAACAACTACACTTTAAAGGCTCTTGAAAACCATTCTCAAGTAGATGTAATTTTCACTGACATCTCCAAAGATTTTGACCAAGTAGACCATTATATTCTCATTGACGTTCTTTACAAAGCAGGCTTCGGCAAACCGCAACTATCTTGGTTCAAATAATACATAACTACAAGAAAGCAATGGGTAAAAATTTTAGATTGTCGCTCAAGTTTTATAAACGTTACCTCAGGGGTCCCTCAAGGTGGTCATCTTTCTCCAATTCTATTTGCTATTTTTATTAACGGCTTGAATACTGCTCTTAAGCACTGCCGTTTTTTGGCTTTTGCTGATGATGTTAAATTATTTTCATGCGTCAACTCCATTGATGATTGCATACGCCTTCAAAGTGAATTCAATTGTTTATCCACCTGGTTAGAGAACCATGGACTATACCTCAACATCAGCAAATGTCAGATTATGTCCTTTACTAGACGCCAAGCTACTATTCTATTCGATTATTCCCTTAACAACCATTCCATAACACGAGTTACTGTAAAGAAAGATTTGGGTATCCTTCTAACTTCCGACTTAGACTACCACTCCCACATTGAGCACGTCACCTGTAAATCTTTAAAGACATTAGGTTTTACAAAACGCTTCTCTTCTAATTTCAATCTAACCTATACTCTCAACAATTTATACTGTGTGCTTGTAAGGCCGATAATAGAATATGGTTCCATTCTTTGTGATCCTTATACAACCTCAGACTCTTCCCTACTTGAGCGTGTTCAGCGTAAGTTCCTTAATTTTGCATCCTTTTGTCTTAATATCCATCATGAACCTCACGATTATTCCCCAGTCTTACACCACTTACAACTTAGTAGTATTTCCGATAGAAGAGTCCTTGCCAACATTAACTTCCTAAATAAACTTACGAATGGTACCATAAATGCTCCCGAGCTTCTCGCTGAGGTAAACTTTCGTATTCCATGTAGATCTTCCAGACTAACGGCCCCCTATCACGTTCCTCGACACACCACTAACTATTTCCGAAACCACCCTATCCACCGAATGATGCGTTTAGCAAATGAGAACCTCTCTAGTCTTTAAGCCTTAGTCTTTGTTTTATATCAATTTTATTATAATGTTTGTCTGTATCTTATTCCGTTAACTGTACTTTGGGTTAGTCCCGTAATGTAAAATAAATAAATAAATAAATAAATAAATAATGGTAAAAAAGTATAAGTTACTGACACGACAAAAAATATAATATAACACTTTACGAATTTGGTTCAAAATTCAAAAAGGAATATAATGTTTTAAAAATAATTGTACAAGCCAGTGTCGGTCTTGACATCACAACGTACGGTAAAAGAGAAAAATCACGGCGGTCATGTTAAAATATTATTTATCATCCGTCGAGGCGGAGCACGATAACGCTCTGGCTTTATCTACATATTATAAAACTCACAAGACACATTCAACGATAATAATAACAATAATAAAACAGTACAAAATAATGATATGCGAGTGTGTGTGTGTGACCAGCTGTTCCTATATACTTATATTTACTTTGTATTAGATATATTTGTATTAGTTGTTATGTTGCGGTGGCAACATGTAATATCGTTGTATATAAGAAGAACGATTTTCACTGAACATTTTATACATTTACTACAAAATCATTTTTAAATTTTAAATTTGTTACATTTTGTCAAAATTCGAAATTTAAATGTTTGTAAAAAACATGTACATATTTTTAATATTTTTCAATTGCCATAGTAACAATATATCAGGAGCCTTGTATTACATTTTTACGCTTTTTGAGTTTTGACCACCCAAATAAAACTATATGACAGTTATAGAAAAAAAAAATTTAAATAACTGCAAAACAGTTTAATAAGAGTTAAAATGTTTTGAACATTTTATCAAACATGGGAATTGTTAAAATAAACATATGGTTTAAATTGTATGTATCTACAGTTATTTGTTTTTTAATTGAAACATAATAAGAAAATCACTACATGAGAAATTGAGTGAATATCCAATGTTGTAAAAATTCGAACTTCAAACGCTCATAAAAAATGAATTTGACTTTTTTTTAGACAATTTTTTTTGATAAAGGTTGACAAACTTATAAGGGATCTTGTATTAAATTTTCAAATTTTAGATTTCAAATGAAAAACATTTATGTATTTCAAATTCAAAATAATTTACACATTTTCTTGATTTTTAGTTATTTTGTCAAATCGAGTTGAACTTTAAATGCTTATAAAAAAAAATTGTGATCATGAATTTTAATATTTGTATTTGTCATTTTACTAATATATTAGAAGCCTTGTATTAAATGTTTAAGCTTTTTTATCCCACTAATAAAATGTTATTGACATTCATAGAAAAAAAAACCTAAACAAATTTTAAACTGAAAATGTCAGTAAACAGCTTAAAACAAATCAAAATACCTTGAAAATGTTATCGTGTATAGAAAATACAAATATAAACATTCAGTGACAATTTCATGTATCTATGGTCATTTTTTTAGAGTTACGTCAAAAACCAAAATCGATTTTGTCGTAAACCGATTTTGGGTAAAATATCCCGTTTTTTCTTAATTTTTTTTTTGTTTTTCAAGACGTCTTTTAAAACTATTAGGATTTTTTTACTTTTGACCTCATGATCATGCAGTTACAGTATATAGATACTTGGGAATCTTTTTAGGCTTCACTGCCTATAATTGGTACCTATTACTTCTGAGGCACGATAAAAATTTATCGACAAAATATAATCTCACAATATGATGTGAAATCTGCATCATAATATATCTGTATTTTGAACAGCTCTTCCTTCCTACAACAAAATAATAAATACTGCAGTAGATTACTATTATTTCGATATTTTCGAAATTTCGGACTTAATCCATTTTATATTAATATATTTTATTTTATAGAATAGCTTTATTAGAATTTATAATATATAATATGTCAAAATAAAAAATTATTATAAATTCGTAATAACTATTTTATTATCTTAAATATTTAGGCCAATGGCTGATGTTTCCGCGCCACACCGAAATGTCGTTATAAAACTACCGTCGTCATACGGCGATTCTATCATTTATAATCTCTTTGTTTTCTACGATTGTTTTTATTGTCATTGTAATTAACCTACATATTACTACAACTATTGTGTTGTTGTGTTTGTTATTTTTTTCGTTGCCATTGATTCAAGTAAGTCAATATTCATTGTCTTTTTTCACCATTACGGCAAGTTTGTAATGTCAATCGTTGTATTCCTGGTTGCTCGTCGCTATGTGAAACGAGTTTCCGGTATTATCAAAATAAAATATATAATTCAATTAATTAAACCAACGTACAAACCCATGTTACGTTATTGCCGGTATTCTTTCAATACCACCTACTCTTGATCCGGAATCTGCGCTGGAAATTAGAGTCGCTCAAGTAGTGGATATTCACGTCCCCAGTCTAACTCGGAATTGCGTAAGTCCACTATCAACTAGCGATCGTCGACTCAAACGTAGAGTAAGCCTGCCAGCAATCTCAAGTGATTGTGCGAGAGGCCACCCAGGTTTCGAACGAACCTGTTAACCCAATTCGGCTGTTCTGAGTAAGTCCATCAGCCCCCTAAGGGGGGTTTGTGAGAGGCCACCCTAGGTCGTCGAAATTGCAACAACGGCAACAACCTACTCATATTCAGTAGATTTAGTTAATTTTAAGAACCTCTCTTAGTGTTATAAAATATGCACTGTGGTCATTGCACCATACCGGACGGGCCACAGAGCCCCCCGTCTCCATAACTAAATTGTAACTTCCTTGATCCCAGTGTCAAATCTCAATTTCCTATTCATTGCCGTATGTTAGGTTGCCTATGTGTAGCATTTCTTTCAGGGGGACATAGTTTATCCGAGATTTCTCAGGCGTTAAGTGTCACAAGGTAGGTGTGAGGTTGCCTATCCAACCTGAATTCAGGCGTTGGAAATCTTTAATTATCTTTAATTATTTCTGTAGATTGATACATTATACATATTTTACATTGATACATAATACATGTTTGTATTTATTTATTTATTATAATTAACACATTTTAAAAGTTTTTATAATAATACTGTAATAGTTAATATTAATTTGTGTAAAATATTCTTTACAAATAACAATTATAATAAAGTAGTTTAATGTGTAAAGCATATAATAAATAGATAAACATGATTATAAAGCATTTGTCAATTGTCTAACAATCATATAATCAGAAGTCATTCTTCTTATAAAATAGGCACATGAAACATATTTAGTAATATTAAAGTATTAACAAAGTCAATGGAATTTATATATTATGCTAATACAATTTAAAAACATTTAATTGAATTTTAGTTTTGTATCAATTATTTTATACTATTTGTTCAAAATTATGGTCGGATCAATTTCTCCTAGTAGGACAATGGTTGAACACTGCAAATAAAAATAACCTTTAAACTGGAAGACAGGAATAGAGATGTGTATTACATTTTACAAATAGTTTTTTATTTTAACATAATTCTTTAAAATTGACAATGAATAATAATTTATTTTTATCATTCAATAATTGTATAACTTCCATATTTGCTTTTGAAACAGCTTTTGTTTGAAAATACAAAAAAATCATATCACATACTTTAATTTGTCTCAATATTTTAATAATGAATTCCATTTAGGTAATGATACCTTGCTTTGGTTTTCAAATAAAAGGGCGAAATCATTGTATAACGTCTTTTTTCATAATATAACTCTTATCATAATGATATAATTTTTATTAATATAAATTATATAATTGAATAAGTAATTAATTAGGTAATTTCGATTTAATCATTTGGTACTACTTTTTCGAACTTTGGACCTTATCATTTGTCGGGTCCTTATAATTTTTCGGACAAGTCTCTCACTAATATATTAAAATCATGAACATTAGAGTAAGGACACCGATCATAGCTGACCGTTCCGAAAAAACTTGGTCCCGAATTTGTAGCTTCCACCAGAGCAGTAGTAGAACAAGTAGTAGAACAAGTGCCATTTGAAATTTCTTGACTTTTTCTGTTATATACTTATATAATTGTTTCTAAAACTATACAAGTGTACAAGTAGTTATTAATATTACACAACAAGATATATTTTTGAAGTTTTTTAGTTTGTTTGAGTTGTTTTGTTAAATCATGTCACGAAATTGTTTTGTGCCATCGCGTAAAGAATTATACCCCTGTAACAGGTCTACTAACAAGCTCTTAGGAATTCGCAACAAAACATTGTTTGAAGAGCCCAAGGTAAACTTTGATAATTTAAAAATCAAATATATTATACTATTACATTTTTATATAGAATGTATTGTGATACATAATATGAATTATGTTGTAGGTAGCTGATACACCAACAGGTGTGCCTATAATATAATATATTGTATTATAATGCAACACTAATTAATTACCATCTAGACTTGGTACCTACCTATACAATAATTTATCTATATAATTAATATTATACTTATTACAGGATCCTAAAGTCTTAACACAATGGATTAAAGCAATTCCACGATCCGTTCGGAATTTGAGGCCAAGAATAGACTGTGTGTGTGAGAAGCATTTTGATGAAACCAGTTTGATAAAGTATTTTGAAACTAAGATGGCTGATGGTTCAATCAAAAAAATTGAAAAAGACAGAATTTTACTAAAAGAAAATGCAGTTCCATCATTGTTTCCAGATCTACCTTTCTATCTGTCTTCTAAAACAAAAAATGGAAAACAACCAGATAAGATTGAAAACCAATTGAAAAAAACCATATTACCTGATGCAACATTTATTACAAAAATAAAAGATGATTTGATTATTGGATGGCTTAATAATGACAATGATACGATGTTTAAAAAAATTATCATATACAAAAGTAATCTTAAAATACAGGTAAGTAGAATGTATCACATTATAATAAATAATAATTTAAATTTATCCATATGTATTATAAAGAATGTGTTTAGTGATATTTACTATATTTTAGGTATTTGTCATGTTGAATGTTGAAGGAGTAATGCAAACTGCTACAGACCTTGGAGATATCGAACAAATTATAGCTATAGTAAATAATTTACAAGCTTGTAATGGCACTGGTTTTGAAAAAAATTATAATATAATAATTTGTTAATTTGGGTTTGTATAGTTTTGTACTTATATATTTGTAGCCCACAGTCAGATGCATGCAATGGTTATGTAAATGTAAAGAAACCAGACACTTTGTTATCAGATTTCTGTTGTAATATATGCTCCAAAGAAAGAGATAAAATATACTAGATCTTCAGCTAATATCTACTATAAGGCATAGAGAAAGAAAACAAAAATTAAAGAAACTGAAGACCATTGGTAGAGTGAAAAACATTACTCGAAAGAATAGGAGACTTAATAATAACGTATGTATGTAGTTTTGCAGTGTTGTAAAATATTTGAGTACAATTAACGAATGAGTGTTAGATTTTAGAGTATTAGATATTAGTAGTCTAACTATTTTATTAATATTGTATTGATCCAATTATTATATTATTATCCACATGTCCTATATGTTTATATGTTTTTTCTCTTTTCGTGTATATTAATTTATTTTTAAAATATAATGTGGGCATTTTAATATAATCTTCAATTATTTATAAAGATTGTCTTTGCAGTTTTAAAAATCTTAATTAAATTAATATTGATAAATACAACTATTCAATTTCAAATCTAATTACTATGTATATTTTTCTAGGTGTTGAAGTTGAAAAAAAAGGTAGGCTTGTTAAAACAGAAATGTGCTACTGCATCTGCAACAGTAATTGAAAATGAATTACTTAATTTTCCTGAAAGTCAACAAGAAGCAGTACGTGCTTGTTTTGAGGCTGCTATATTAAAAGATCCTAAAGGAAATCGTTATTCTATTAACTGGATTTATGATTGGTTAAAATAAAAAGTAGAAATGTTTATGAACACCTTCGTACAAGGAAAAATATTAGTTTCTCCTTGTATAGATACTTTAGGGAAATATATCTCTGGTCAGTACGGTTTTCAATAAGTCATTTTAGATCTTTTAGCAAAAAAAGAGGATTGTATGGCTCCCAAAGAAAAACTATGTAAATTTTTTTATTCATACATTTTATCTTAGCAATCAAATTTAAGTATACATATCTAGCATTATATTTTGTCATTTTTATTTTAATAATCCTATTATTAGATGAAATGAAATTGAGTGAATCAGTTTCATTTAATAAAAAAACTCTAAAGGTTAATGGTTTGGTAAACTTGGGCAACTATACTCCTGAACATCAGAAAAATAGTAAAGGTGATCATGCCTTGGTCTTAATGTACCAACCATTCCAAGGAAAATGGTATCAGGCATTGGCAGTGTTTTTGAGTTATGATTGTGCTTCAAGTACAGTGTTGCACAAGATTGTTATTGAATGTGTTATTCTTTTGAAGAAGTTTCGGTATAGATGCCATTGCAACTGATGGAATTTCGATATGTGGACAAAATTTGAAATTTCTTCTGAAAATGTTAGTTGTGAACACATTTATGATTCATCAAGAAGATTATGGTTTTTATCAGATTTTCCCCACCTTATCAAAAATTTTAGAAATTGCATAGTGAAACAAAGTGAATTTTGGATAATAAAATTTAAGGTTTTTTAATATTAGATCAAAGTGCAATGATTCGTTTAACTTAATTTCTATTTTGTTTTTAATAGTTTTTTTTTTAATAACTACTACCCTATCACATCTATCTTATTTACTTATTATACTAATATATTATCACATACCTAAATATGTCTAAGTATAATTTCATAAATAAATAAATAATTTATGTTATATACTTCTATATTTTTAATTATTTTAATTTACCAATTATTATTTAAATAAGGTATGCTATAATTAAATTTATTAAACATAAATATTTTCTTATTTGTCAAAAATCAATTAATTAAAATGTAAATTAAACATATCATTGCACATTGCAAAATTCTGGTATGTAAACTTTATATATACATTATGTCAACACTAAAACATAATCATATAGTTTTATTTAACTTTACTTGTTGTACTGATTAACAGACACCAGATGGAATAGTGAAGCTAAAACATTGGGATGCCATTAATTACTTCTGAAAATCCTTTTGGTTTTAACTTAAAAATATGTCCTAGTTTAAGTAATGATGAAATACATCCTAAACCCTACCAAAAAATGAATGTTGGCAGAGCATACTGTGTATGTATTAATATTTTTTTTCATTTAAGATATAAGTTAATTATATTTTTCTATAGTTTTTTAGTGAAAAAACTGCCATAGCAATGAAAATTTATAGAGAATTCAATATCGATTTAATTGTTTGTGGACCATCAGTTATAATTATCTGCCGAATAAATAGTTTAATCCAGGATATGGGTTCCCTAATTCCTAGCAACAGTCTTACAAATGCTTCTCCTGAATATAAAGTAGGTACTGGCCACAGTTGTCAAAGTAAAATGTTGCTTTATTTTTACACCTGTGTTAATAAAATCATTGATCAATTCTGACAGATAATTAAAGATTTTATAGACTATTTGGATGAATGGCATGACAATGCCAAAAAAAACAACTATAATTTTTTGACTGATGACACATATGTATTTTGGTCTAAAAGTTTCACTAAAGGCCACTCTAGAAATATTTAACTATCTTGAGCTTATTTGTGATTATCAATTTTTAACGACAGCTAGATTAAACCAAGATAATTGAGAGGTATTTATTTAATTTAAAATATTTAAAATAAAACCTTCAGGCTTCATTTATTTATATTGAAATGTATCATACTATTTACTAGAGATTCTTTTCATTGATGCGGAGTTCATGTGGTTATAATGATCACCCAGATTCGGTATTATTTGTTCAAATATTTAAGCTAATTTGCACATATTCATTGGCAAAACCACCCAAAGGGTCAAATATAACAGGGGGTGAATTGTTGTCATCATTATTTGTATTAAATAGTTGAACACACAAGAAGATAAATGTAAACAATTTCACCTAGCCATAGGCAATATAATAGATCAAGGGTCAGATTGCCCTGATATCATGGATATTTTTTCTTATTATTATGACCATGATTATGCAGGTATAACTGTGACAAATGATCCAATTTTATTTTTTTTATTTAATACAGATTTTTTAATTAAATACAGAACTTTTTTAAAATGTTAAATTGTTTTATCAAGTATATTTTTCTTTATTCAATGAAGATTTTTATTGATTTCTTTTTCAAATTAAGATTTTTTTATTAAATATAGATTTTTATTTAATACAGATTTTTAATTGACTAATAAATTATAATATATTAATATATATAACTCAAACTTTCGGTTTTTTTTAAACTTGGCTTTTTATTATAATTAGATTTTATTAAACTTAGGTTAGAAAACCTAAAGTATAAAAACTTTTAAGTAAATAATTTATATTAAATAAAAAATATAAAGTTGATAAAAAAATCTATATTTGAAAAAAAAATCAATAATAAATATGTATTCTATAAAAAAATATATCTATACTTCTATACTAATATTATAAAGAGGAAATATTTGATTGTTTGTATTGAATAGGCTCCGAAACTACTGGACAGATTTTAAAAATTGTTTTACCATTAGAAGCCGACATTATCATTGATGAATATAGGCTAATTTAAAAAGTGAATTGATCACTCAGGGGAGGTGCTCAAACTTGAATTTTGAGATTTACGATAGAAATTTGTGTTTAAAAATAGTTGCCATGGGTTTTAAAGCTATTATAATAATAAATAATAATTATTGGTTCTTGTTTATTGAAAATGGTGGCTATTGCCTATTGATCATAGGAGAAATAGTTAGCATAATATGTCCGTAATGCCTACGGCTGTGATGTACGACCGTTATCGGCATCATGGCGGCGTGTGTATAAACACTACATTGCATTACTGTTTAGTTTTTTTTCTCATTTTAAAATGCCCAAAAGAACAAGATCTCAAATTTCTAGAAATAGTTCACAGGCTAGGGCAATAAAAATACGTCGTCATGGAGAATCTCAATCAGAAACTGAAAATCGTCTTGCAAGTCAGAGAGAATAAGCGTCGCAATCGCGTGCAAGAGAGTCAAGTATTTAGCGTTCACAGCGGCTTGAAGAACAAAATATTAGAAATGTACAAGCTCGCGCTAGGGAATCGAGCTCTGAACGTTCCGAGCGCCTTCAAAATCAGAGAGAAAGACAACAGACGTCAACGGCTAGAGTTCGCAATCGAGTTTTAGCTCATAGTAACAGATCGGCTTTCACATACGATCCACAGATTGATTATGCTCAACAGTCTTCCGTCCGAATCAGAGCCATTAAGATCTGCTCTAAATGTTCTGCCAAAAAATGGGCCGATGAACCTAATGGTTTGTGCTGTTCTTCTGGAAAAGTTAGTCTTCCCAAAATGCAGGAGCCACCAGAGCCAATAAAAAGTCTTTTGACAAATAATCATTTACATAGTAGACATTTCCTAACCAACGTACGTAGGTACAATAGCCTATTTCAAATGACTTCGTTTGGTGCGAAAGAAATTAGAGGACAAAATTTTATGGCCACTTTTGAAATAGAGGTCCAAGTTTATCACCGTATAGGTAGTCTTTTACAACCATCAGTCCAAAATCTGCAATTCTTGCAGATTTATTTTATTTCAGACGCAGATCAGCTATCGTTGCGGTCAAACATAGCTCCAACGCTAAACATTGATTTAATTAAAGAACTACAGACCGCACTGAACAATATATATACACAAAGTTTTAAACAAAACTTAGAACAAAACTCATCGGATAATTTAAAGTTAATTATTCACTCCGACCGCCCAATACAGACAGCACACCCGGGCAGATATAATGCTCCAGCTGTAAACGAGGTAGCCGTTCTTTTGGTAGATGAAGAAAAAGGTCCCAGAGATATCGTGCAGTACGGTAGAGACGGCCAACTTAAAAGTGTCTCTGAATTACACAGATCTTACGATCCTCTCCAATATCCATTGATGTTTGTAATGGGAGAAGACGGCTATTATTTGACCATTCCTCAAGAAGGTACTGCCCGTAATAAAACTGTGACCTGTTTGTAATTTTATGCATTTAGATTGATGGTTAGAGATGGTTTTAATCCACTACATTACTACAGGGACTTATTTAGCCAATATATTGTCGAAATGATGGCAAAAATTATTTCGGAACGATTAAATTACATATGCCGTAATCAACAGAGACTGAGGGCTGAAGAATATATTCACCTCAGAGACACTTTAAACCAAGACGCAAATGTTTACCCATCAAACATAGGTCAGTGCGTAATCTTGCCGTCTTCATTCACAGGTTCTCCGCGTTATCTACACTAAAAAACGCAAGATGCGATGACTTATGTCCGCAACTACGGGAGACCAGACTTATTTGTTACTTTTACGTGTAACCCCGAATGGCCTGAAATTAAAGCGGAACTATTAACTGGACAGCGGTCTTTCGATCGTCATGACATAATTTCAAGGGTATTTCATTTAAAGATGAAAAAATTCATAAAAATTTAATTTGATTTGCTTGTAGACATTTTGTTTTTATGAAGGTAGACAAACTTATGAGGAATCTTTTGTTTTATTTTCAAATTTTAGATTTAAAAAGAACAATTTTTATGAATTTCTAATTCAAAATAATTTTCTAATTTTCGTGATTTTTACGTATTTTGACAATGTTTGAACTTTAAATGGTGTCTAAAAAAATTGTGTCTATGGATTTTTAATATTTTTCATCTGCCTTTGAAACAATATATTATGAGCCTCTAAACATTTTATTGATATTTATAGAAAAACAAATTAAATAAATTTTAATTTGAAATTGTCCGTTAATAGCTCATATAGAGATAAAATGTTTTAAAAATGTTATGGTGTATATAAAATGCTAATACAAACATTCAATCAAAATTTCATGTATATTCGGTCATTTATTTTAGAGTTACGTTTTAGTCAGATATCGATTTTGCGTAAAAATTGCCGTTTTTCCTAAAATGTTTACCAAGGAGCTAGCTTTTGAAAACTACTGGGATATTTTTACTTTTAACCCCCCAAAGTACAAACTAGATTCACTTTCCTATCAGAAAAAATACTGTTGAAGATAATCTAAGCACTTTTACTGTCCTAAATTATAAATAAATAAATAAAATTAAAAAAACATAATTGTTAAATACTAAAATCAATGCATTCATCATTACTGCGAATTCCGCAGTTGTCAATTTCGTAGAGCCTGGTCTAGCCGACGGTGACCATCGGTTGGATGACTACGGTGGACCTTGAATGTGTGTCAAACGTTATCCTGGGGGATTTGATATAATTTAATCCGTTCCAAGTCACGAGACTGCGGAACAAGTATTCCGCTCTCCCAAAGTTTTCGATGCGGCTCGGCTGCAACACGATGTGCTAAATTATCAGATATAAGCATATGCATAACAGTAAAAGCTATGTACCCATGCACATTTTTGAATTTCTATTTTCTCATAATAGTATAACAGTCTATTTTTATTCGCTGCCGTTGTTCGTTTCCTTTCCATGTGAACTGTTTAGAATAATTCAAAAATATAATTGTTGAATTTTTTTTATAAGCTGTCGTCTATTGTTCACGTATATTCCATTATTTTGGTAACATTATTTCTATGCTGTAGTACAAGTCCCAGTCTGGAAAAAAATAGTTTAAAGAACACATTAGATAATTCAAAAAACATACAGCGTGGACTACGTATTCGATTTTAAGATGATGTATGTTTACTTATTAGCTTAACCTCGTAAACCATTATTAGTGTTTATACTTAATAATATTTATAATTTATCAGCATAATAAAAATAAGATTTTTTTACAGTTACTATTGTATTAATTGATTAATTACAGAACGTTGAATGCACTTCGAAGAATATGTTTCAGACAGTGGGGCAGTAGCGGTGAATCAGGTCGGCGTCGGCCCGTTGTACGTAGTAGCAGGGAACGTCGACCTCGCCGTCTCGACACACCACGCTGTCTCCCACACGCCGGACGTCACCGTCACCACGTCCCGACCATTCCACCGCCTTGTCAAAGATCTTGAGGCTGGTGTCAGCCATGAAAGGTCTGTAAAGCAGCGCATAGCTTTTGGTGCATACCATAGCATCGTACACGAACGGGTGACAGGTGACCGGCGAGCTGACTGTTAAATCACTGTACTCGACAGCCGTGTCAGTTGCACGGTACACGGACCCTCGTATCGCCACCAAGTCGCCTTCCAGCACTGTGCCGCCGAACTGCCAGAGCAGCACCAGCTCCACAGCGAACTTGGCGAGCGCGGGACGCTTGTCCAGGCCCATCCACTGGAACGGAGAAAACTCCAGCATATCTTCCAGATTGACGTGCATCACATTCAATCGGTGGATGCCATACTTGGCTGTCAGGTAAACAAGGCTCGACAACAGTGACACCTGCATCAGTATTATTATTGTTATTATAACAGATATGAAGTTGATGACCTAAAATAGACGAGCGTCTAGAGACACCACAAGAGCAAACACGAGTATTTTCCATTAGACAACAATGATTTTATGTTAAATACATTGACTGAAACACAAAAAGAAGTCCTTAAAAAATTTAGCAGTGGAAAATTATGTATTGATTCAACACATGGTACTAACTACTAATCAATATAATTTCAATCTAATCACAATTGTAATAATTTATAAATTTGGTGAAGGATATCCGGCAGCTTTTTGTATAAGTACAAAAACAGACGAAATGCATTTGAACGTTTTTTTTTTCAAAAATAAAGGATTCAATTGGTTGTGTTGCCGCCCGAAATGCAACAACATTATTATCGAAATGTTAAGGCCGCTTACCACCACCGACTTACACACACACACATGCAATCACATACCTGTTACCTGTTTGTTCCTATATATTTATATTATTGTTTTTATCTCTGTTTTAATTGTCCGTAACAGCTGTGAATTATTATGTAATATTATGTAAATTATCGCCGCCGCCGTCGTTTATTATAATAAGACACTGCCGCTGCAATCCAGTCAGTGCGCTTACCGCTGTCATCTAGACGCAATATCATTATCGAGTGTACCGGTCGCCGGTTTGATATTATATTGTTTTTTAAGTTCAGGCGCGAATCGCCAATTTTTTAGTATTCTTATGTAAGGCGCAAATCGCCTTACATATTATAATTATTGAACCGTGCTATTATTGTCGTGCGCGAAGCGGCATATTTTTGTTATTGGTAAAGGGTGCGAATCACCTATCTATGTTATATAGTTAATGCACAGGCGCGAATCGCCATTTATCATTTGTTTATAATTTATAGTTATATTGTGTGTGTTATTTATTTTACTATATTGCTATTATAAAAGATTAGGGAGCAGCTGGCCAGCGGCGCTCCGTCAAATTGTGAGTTTTATTTTATATATTTATTATTATATTACAGCTCAAATAGCTAGTTATTATCAACTATTTGGCCATATTATATAATTCTTAGAGGCTCAAATAGATTGTTATAAAATATTATTATATTGTTTTTGCCTATTGGCTGTAAATTTATTTATTGTGTATTATTTGAAAACGTCTTATTATATCATATTAATAACATTAAATTTGTATTGACATTATTTGCATACACACACACATACATATACACACCTATTCACCACACACTACCTAGCACTCAGAGTATTTGCTCGGCGATCTCGTCCACTACTCTTGAGTTGCTATACACATATTAATACGCAACACAGATCGGTCGGTGTGTGAGTGTTCTTGCGCATGAAGTATTTCGGTACCGGGCACACGAACTATCGTTGTTTCGGTCTCAGCCCAAACAGGTTGCCTTGCACCAAATGTGTTTATGAGCGATGATGCTCCAGCATTTTGGAATGCATGGATTAAGACAATGTATCCAATTCCCAAATTTCATTTGTTATGTAAGTGGCATTAGATAATAATTTGTTTAAAAATCTTTAAAAGATTGCTGGAACACAAACTGTGAAAGCTTATATTTATAGAACTCTCGGAGTTTTACTCAAAAAACCAAATGAAACACAGTTTGAAACGCTTCTCAATTCTTTTCTGTTTTAAATCATATGAGTAACCGGCTTTGCATGACTTTAAAGCATATTTTGTGAGTCATTATGTTTATAGAAAAAATTATGGGCTGCATGTTATAGACATCAAGTTATGCTTAACACCAATATGGTTTTGGATGCATTCCATTAAACACTGAAATATGTTATGTTATGTCTCAGTACATGTTATGATTATACAATTAAAAATAATATGTGTAAGCATAATATACTGCCGTAAAAACTAATACAAATTATGACCTTGACGACCAAATTGACGTCCAAACTTGTTCTAATAACCCAATGGAAACTGATGAAATTTGCATGAAAATGTCAAGTGTACAGCAAATAACTGCCCCATCGACAGAAAGTATTGCAAACAAAATACAAGTATACAACAATTTTACAACATGTTCGTGTCACAGGAGGGGGGGGGCAAATTCAATAATGAACAGCTGAAAAAAAAATAATTTATAGCTAGACAACAATTTAAGAATATTATATGAACAGGGGAGCAATGCTGCTATTTCATTAAATGAAAATCGTGAACCAGCCAATGAAAATGTGGAAAAGCAGTTACGATTTTTTTCAACAAAGAAACTAAGATTAAAAGTACCCGAGGAACAGCGGTTAAACCAGCCAACATTAAATGTAAGACAGCAAATAATATATGACTTAGATGGTAAAGAAGAGTCTCCTTATGTTCATATAGATCCACATTTTGACCATGCATATGAACAATAAGTCATTAATTCGACTTGTAATTTAATAATTTTTTCATATTTATTTACTAAAATATTTTATTATTATTATTATTATAACTTTAGCTACACTTAACTTTATATTTATTTTAATTATTTGAATACGAATTATAAGACAACAATACCTATATTAAACTGTATAATGTATTCTCTAACAATTATTTTTTTACTTAACCACAGAAATATAAAAAAATTATATTAATTATGGTAGTTGTATGACGATTATAATATTATGATAATTGTTAAGAAATACGATATGATAATTGAAAGGATATTTGCTCTTGTGCCGTCTCTAGACGCTCGTCTAAAATAGTACAGAAATCATGGTCTTAACTCTTAGAAGATAAGGTCGGATAACTTCCCACCTTCCATTACAATCAGGGACTGAAACCTTTATGATTTTATCGGTTTGGGTTTAGGTTTGAGTTCTCAAAAATCTAAAATGTTGGTTCCGGCTTTGGTTTAGGTTTTAAAAAATATTAAGTTTTGGTTTCGGTTTCGGTTAATACCAGTTTTAACCCTTTATATTTGACTTTTTATTTTATTTTTATCAATTAAGTACTGTATAAAAAAATTAACATATTAAGAACCACTATTTAATGGCATTTATTAACTGTAATTAAATGTACTTATTTCGGAGTTTAGGTTATACAATATCGTTAACACTAAAACTATAAAAACGAAATAAATGCAATAAACGCATATATTGTATATGATTATCAAAACCTAAATGTTTTTGAAACATTACTAGGTATCTACTATACATTCCTTTTTTATTAACTAATATTATTAATTAATATATTTTGTAAGCTAATAGACGATACCCACATTCGGTATTTAATATTATAACTGCAGCCTTTCAGCGATACTACTATTTTAGTTAGGGAACAATTATAAGACAACTTACTCTGAAATACTTATAAACGTATAAATTGTTATTATTTTTAGAAATTCTACATTGGTTATTGCGAATTGCGATTTTCTAATTAATAATAATTGAACCCAGGTAGGTACCGGGATTGTTATAGATTACATGGAAATTAGAAATTGAGATTTATGACAATTCTGTTGTATCTACACATAATAATATTCTTACACTTTTGTATCGATAAATTTTTATGCATCTATGATTTTACAATTATATGTTATTACTAAAAAGTAGGAATAACTAAATATACCTACTACTATAGATAAAATATCTATTTTATTTTGGAACTGAAAAAAAACCAAAATAAATTCTACATCAAAATTTAGGTTTCGGTTTCGATTTCGGTTCTTAAAAAAAATGTATTTAAGGTTTCCGGTCCGATTTCGGTACCGAGATTTTCAAAAGGCTTCGGTCCAAAACTGGTCAATTTCGGTACGGTTCAAGTCCCTGGTTACAATATTTCCTCTAATACAGCAAAAAATGCAATAACGTTTCCCAAATTTCCACAAAAGCTCTGCCTTCGCTATCGTCGCATCAGCTTTGCCAATGTTACCAACAATATTACCGGTCTTATAGATTATTGTGTAAATACTCAATATTTAATAACGATAAAAACTAGTGATACCACAACAAAAACCCTTCGTAAACTACTTGTAAAAATGGCTAAGTAAAAAAATATAAGATCTTTAAGCACTATAAAAATGTGTTATCATGAATAAATGCTAAGTATATTGAATTTGAGTAAACTTATTTTGTTTCAATAATTTATTTACTTGGCAAGGAATTATTTAGAATAGTATTTAAATATTAATAATAATATTTCTAAAATAATAATAAGTTATATTTGAATAGTCCTTCACTCCTTCTCCATTTAATTATTTTGTTCATCACACTTTGTCTCTTTTAAGAAATAAATCCTCAACAAGAAAATAAATTATTGAAACAAAATAAGTTTACTTAAATTCAATATAGGTACTTAGCATTTATTCATGATATCACATATTTATAGTACTTAAAGATCTTATATTTTTTTTTACTTATCCATTTTTACACGTAGTTTACAAAGGATTTTTGTTGTGATTATATTATTTTCTTCGACCATATAAACTAGTTGGTTTACAATAAACTTCCGTGACATCATTCGTTTATTGTTGAGCGTGTTAAAAGTGATTTGGGAGTAAAAATATAAATATTAAAATATATTAAGTGGAAAAAATAAAAATTGAAATAAGTAACTCACGTATTAGAATATTATATGTAGGTACCTACATATTATATATAAGTGTTATTTAATAAGCTAATTTAGTCAAAATAAATTTTGGCACCAACATTTAAATACAGTCATGTTAATAAACGTAATATCCTACATTCGATATACTTATAATGTGTCCTTAATATATAGATAAATGTACCTACTGTGTAATAAAAAAAATATTTTAAGTTCTAATTTATAAGAAGTAATCATACCGTGTTTTATCTGATGAAAATTTGGTTTTTGAGATGCCAAATATTGATTATCATTCTCATATTATACATTATTTATCATATTATTTATATTATAACATATAGGTAGTATTAGGTTTTTTTTAATAAACTTAGTTTTTAATTGTATCAAAATATTCTAAAACATTTAATGTTGCTCGTAGACCTTCGATGAGTATAATAGGTATATTCAATGATTTTTGGATGATAATATAGTTGTTTTGCAAAACAAATAAAAATTTGTCTTAAAAAATTAATAACAACTAATTAGTAATTATTGGTCAGTTGGAGATACATCACTATCGTATTTATTTCCAATATGTTACTTATTTATTGTACGACATGTCTAAGTTTGGTATTTTGTTTTAGTACCTATTATATAGATAGTTTTGTTGGAAATTTTGTTAATAGTTATTTTATAATTAAGTGTTAAAAGTGCCGAAACGTTAAATCATAGTTTTCCTTCATATTTGGTTGCCTATAAAGAAATGTTGGTAGTTTTTATCCTCATAATTACATATACTGGGCACTTTTTATTAATATTGTTGATTGTTTTTAGGGAATTTAAATATGTCAATTTGGGCTTTATAGTGATTAATGTTTATATTATTATAAGTACCTATATATGCTTATATTGAGAAATTACTCACCGGCTCCGTCGCGTCGCACTTGTTATTTGTTCGATCGAATTCCATTCCACTGACAACGAACACATTCACGCGGCCGACATGGCCAACAGCACCTAGGGCCGACTCTAACGAACAAGCGACCGTCCACGGCACGTGCGTGGTGTTGACAAACACGTAATGCACGTCCTGGGCGCCTCCGAGGTCCAGTGACAGCAGCTTGGACACCCGGCGGGTTTCGTCCACGTAGCCCATCTGTTCTAGAGAGTACAGGTCCCTGGATACGACGGAACAGAACTCTCTGGCGGTGACGTTGACGATCTGCTCTTCCGGCACCGAGGCGTGAAATCCCGATCCGCCCATGTCGTCGTAGTACAAGAATTTAAAAGTATTCGGCGACACCGGCACTGCAGTGGATTTGCACCTCAAGTGCAGGTAATACGTGAACGTCGCCAGGACGAACACGAACACCGCCGTGATGAAGGATTGCATGAACATAACCGCGAGCTTTTTAGTAAGCTTCTTCAACCGTTGACTGTTGTCATCGATGTCCGTGTTACTGTCCATTTTCGGCTTCCCACGTAATAACGCGTGCTGTAGTGATTTGCAGTCAATGGACAAAATATTGTTGCAGATATCTAACTCAAAGCGTGAATCATAATGTATAAAACAAACAAAAACACGTTGTCAGGTTATGAATGTCGAGTGTTTATAAACCAATTACGTCGTATAGATAACTATAAGAAATTTCATAAATTATTTAAAGAAATGATAAACTGCGACATAGGTAACAAGTGTAAGGACACATAGTAGGTACAAGGACTGTAGCGTAGGTACATACCACCGACGCTCGTTCTTAAATAGAATTGATGAATTGCCTGCCGAGGAGGACACAGATACAAAAAACAAAAAATAAATTGGTTAATTTTTCAGGATAAATGCCTTTATTGTTTTTATGGATACAACAAATATAATAAAAATAATACACACTGCTTGGGTGCCAGGGTGATTGGCCTCTGGGTCAGAGAGGATAATATATAACCACGAAAAGGCACTCTAATAGGTAGACCTATGAAAAATAAGACTTGTTGGAAAAAGGACGGAGCCGTGAGTTTTTTAGTGACACAGACGGACATTAAATTATGATATTCACACACCATTATTTTAATTTTAAGATATCATACTTAAATTGCTATCGAATATTTGATAAATTGTATTTTGTACCTACTGCTATCTGTAACCGATGAATAATTTATATTATTTACAGCATCTTCTTATTAGGAGTATCAAATTGGTTCAATAACTATTATATAAATGTTGGTAAAAACTTGGCTGAGAAATTTAAATTTAATACCTGTACTCCGGTGTACCTATATGCAGTGATGGAAAGTATTTGAGTTAATGTATTTGAGTAAAAGTATTCAAAAATTCTATTTAGTTCCGGTATAATTTGTTATAATCAAAAATTTGTTTATTACATTTTAAAAACATGATTCGTTCAATAATCAAAATACTGATCAGTCATGTTAGTTCTCTTTTAGTGATAGTCCCACCACAACAATGAGCTTTTGTCTACATAGGTGTAATAAATTAGATTAAAACTATATAGGTATGTATTTTGATATCCCAAACCGTCATCGATCGTTGTCGGCGATAAACGATGATGATATTATTGATAACCATTTCCTTAGTAATTATGTAGTAATAATAATTAACAATAATATTTTCGTACAGTTTAATAAATTATAAATCATAATTATAGCTGTTAAGCAAAAGCTTATTGCATAATATATATTTTGTTATTAACTTAATGAGTTTAGGTATTCTGGTACTGACGTAGGTACCGTAGTCGTCAACGACTAGAAAAAAAAAACATTTAATTAAGAGTATTCAATAAAATAGTATTCAATAGAAAAAAGAAGGTTAAGTTTAAGTCGCTCTGCTGTACAGTATGTTATAAATTGGTCCTTGGATAATGGATTGTATTAAACTTGAAATCAATGATATTCTATCATTGTATAAGTATAGGTAAGACATATTATATACTTATCTATGGTATTCAAAAAAAATTGACCTATTATAATAGGTACCTATAATATATTACAAATTAATCATATTACAATATCCATTAGGTACTTATAACGCATTATACATCAACAACAAACCCTGATACTATCATAGATATATAATATTTTCCTTAGAAATTTCAAGTACCCACGAATAATATTGTACAATCACAACAAAATAACTAAATCAGTTATTCTAGGTTGTATATTATGTGATTTCGTCAAAATTTGAAATTAAAATGACTATAAAAATAAAATTTGCTTATGTATTTTTTAGATTTTTTGGTAACAGAATTAACTACTTACTTGGAATCTTGTTTTAAATTTTCAATCCTAAGATATAAAAGTTGAAAATTTTATAAATTTTTAACTAAATTTTTAAAAAAAAAACTAGAAAAAATGGAAAATGAAAATGACACTAAACTGATAACGCTTAAGGTGACCAAAGTAATAATGAACAGCCTTGTCGTTTTATATAAAAATGTGGACTGTATATTGTAATAAATTGTTAATTGTTAATTGTTAATTTTGGCACAATAATGATAATAATAATAATAATAATAATAGTAATAGTATAAAATATAATTTCAGTTGCCTCTTTGGCTATAATAATTGATAATAATAATACATGATTGAACCAAGCCTGAATGGCTGTAATATACAATGAAATATAAGTAATAAATAATATGCCTTTATGGCTAACAGAACATAATAATGTGATATATAATACTTTAGGACCCGTTGGTCATACACACACATATTTGGTCGACCAATACTCACATAGCAGTTGAGACACACACCTGGTTTTACACCCACGTTACCGCACCAGGGCCCGTAAGTATATCAATAAGTTACAATAAAAACAAATTGACCCTGCGTACGTTCGAATGTGTGCCAGCAACTGTTGACGATGACTTCAATAACAACAAACACACCGAATGCAGCCGGAACAGGATCTCTAGTGTTCGCACTACTGTTCCCACAAGCAATGAGGTACACCAAAACACGTTGAATCACAACACAAATTTCTGGTAATTTTGACCACCCTATACTGGAGAAACAAATTAGCGATGGCAATAAAAATTGCTGAGAACGATAATTACCTGAAATCCAGAAACTTAATCACAAATTCACACCAACGTGGTATGGGACGACTGCAAAAAGCTCATACTCGAAAAATGATGAGACAACCATGAACCTTATGACAATGAGAGCATGACTGATCCAAAAAACAACTTGAAGTTTTGAACATAACCAAAAATATAACGAAAACATTGATAATTATTCCACAGCTGGCCGGTCGCACACGAATGCCTGATAAGCATCCGCCGACGAGGGATGCATCTGTGTAACGCACTTATTCTTACACATGAAAATGATAACATAAATACACAACATAAATTTGTTTGCAGCGCAAACACTAAACAGTTCAAAATAAATCAAAATATTTTTAAAATGTTATCGCGTATAGAAAATGCAAATATAAACAACCAGTGAAAATTGCATGAATCTAAGGTAATTTGTTTTAAAGTTACAACAAAACCCGAATTCAATTTCGTGAAAAATCGATTTTGTGAAAAAATTCCGTTTTTCCTTAATTTTACTTTAGTTTTTCTTGGCGCTTTTGAAAATTACTGTTAATTTTAAATTTTGACCTCCCCAATGCATAAACGATATTCACTTTCCAATCGAACAAGATATTGAAGTTGAAAATTAAAGCATTATTTCGACTACTTATCGTGTACAAAGACAAAAAAAAAATTATATAATTAAATAATAAATTAAATAAATTTTAAAATTATTATTGTAAAATCAATACATTCATCGTTTCACTCAGAATCTAAAAAATAAATATTAAATTTACTTGATAAAAATATGTCTTTAATAATAAATCTAATTTTAATAAAAAAAAATCCATAATTAATATAAAATCTTTGATAAAAATCCAAATTTATGAAATTTATATTTAATAAAAAAATATAAATAAATATAAAAAATCTATATTAAATAAATAGTTTGTTCAATAAATAAAAATCTATATTTATCAAAAATATGTGTAAAAAATCGATATAATATATATTAAATAAATGTAAATAAAAAATAATTGTTTGATTTAAAATCTAAATTTTACAAAATTTATATTTAATAAAAATAAATCCCAGATAAATTAATAAAAATCATTGTTCATTATAAATCCATATTTAATAAAAAATACATTGTATAAAAAATCTGTAATTAATAAAAAATTCATAACTAATAGAAAATGGTTATATAAAAAATCTATATTTAATAAAAAAATCTAATAATTAATAATTTGAATTTGATAACAAAATCTCTCTCTATATTATATAACTATATATAATATAAATAAAATGTTAATAAAAAATCTAAATTAAATAAAAAATCCAGTTCATAAAATATCTTCATAATAATTATAATAAAAAAATCTGTTCTCCCAAGCTTCTTTCATTATAAAGCTTGTTAAAAAAATTGAATTTTTTAGTTGCAAATAGTTGCTTAACAGTGGCACAAGTCTGATGTTGGTAAGACAAAGTCAGGGGCCTACGTGAAGTTAGTCCCAAGTTTTAAAAGTTGCTCAAAGATTCTCCCCTTTTTATCCAGAAATTTAACATTTTAGAAAAATTGCTACTTTTTCGATAAAATTTGCAACGGATTTTTTTTATCGAATATACTTTGTTGATATTCTATTTATAAAAAATGGTTGCCTAACCAGTAATGGTGTACAAAAACATTACCGTAATACCAAAAATACACGTCTTATTAAGGCCAATATGTTAATGTCCGGATTGAAATAAAGCAGAGAAGGATTTTCAAAGTTTTAATTATGTGAACTTTTCAATATTTGATAGTAACGATTCGTATATTATAAGTTATAATATTATTAAGGTACTTTTATAGGAGTTCAAAATATGGAAGTATTATTACATTTTAAATCAACTTTTTTTATGCATTTAAGAAATATTGACGTTGATTCAGAAAGGATCGACCAAAAGGGAGACTCATTGTTTAAGGTCAATTTTAAACATTCGTAAAAACCTAAATCAAATTTTACAATTTTTTTTGAATATTTTATGAATTTTTAAAATCAAATTAATTAAAATTTTTTTTTGTAATTTTTACGAATTTTTGAAATCGTGTTAGCTGAATTTCAAATTATTCTATGATAATATACTAGGATTAATGGGTTATTCGTTGTTCGTTTATTGAACTATATGATAAATAACATGTATGAGGTACTTTTGAGTTTAGGATTATGTTTGTAGATCGATCTGGACAAAAATGACTACACTGTTTTTAGTAATAAGTAATGTTTACTAAACACATGACTTACACATAAGTAATATTATAATGTAGTAGCGACCACTCGAAAACAGCCCTAGCATGAACAGATGACCTTAAGTTGACCGCCCTGTCTCTAAGTCCCCTGCATAGTCAAAATATGAATACACACTTAAACTCAGATTTACGTTAGATTTATAA